AACTGCAGAATTTTAGGTCATCATGAACAGCAGTTTTCAAATCACTAGATAATGAACCACATAAAATGCACCACGGTGACAGGGCATCTAAACTCTGTTCTCTCTGATCTATGTATAATATATCCAGGGCCTTCCAAGAATATATCAACAAAGGTTACCATGGCAGATGCCAGTGCATCAAGTGTGCCCAGGTTCAAGTAGGAAGACATGCTGAGTATCCTCAGTTGTGTTAGTGCTAAAGGATGCTATAAAATGAAGTCAACAGGGACCCAAAATTGTCATCACCCTACAGTTTTCATAGGTGTCAGTTATCTTTTGCTTGGGAGAGTATAGGCTGATGTACAGAGGGATCTTATTGAAACGTCATTAAAAGATTATTTTGGAGCTGGCTTGATGGCTCAGCCTGTAATCCCGCGTCTTGGGAAGCCAAGGTGAGTGTACTGCCTGAGCCCGCGGGTTTGAGACCCAACTGGGCAACTTGATGAGACCTCATCTCTACAATAAATCAAAAAAAATTAGCCAGGCGTGGTACCGCACGCCTGTAGCTCCAGCTACTTGAAAGGCTGAGGTAGAAGGATCACCAGAGCCCAGCAGGTTGAGCGTGCCACTGCACTCCAGTCTAGGTGACAGAGTGAGACTCCAACTCAAAAAAAAAAAATTATTTGAAGCCATAGGCTTATGAGATGATGCTAAATAAGTTTAGAGCTCTGCCTGAGAAAGTAAGATTCATATCTCAGCTTATTTTTATTATCTTCCTGCCAACAACTTTACCTCATTCAGCCTCAAAATAGGGTACTATTTGAGTACAAAATGTTTTTATGAGAAATTTTGACCCATGAAGAAATTTTATTGAACTTTCAACTTCATTATTCCATCAAAGATACTATTTTTAATGCCACCTCAGAATTATCTTAAAAATATTTAGGAGATTGATGAAAACTGTGGCCAAATGTCATATCTAAGCAAGCATAATCTTATTCTCTAATAATGCAGAATTTTATTTTCAGATACAGAATATCTCTAAACATCTAATGTCAAGTTCTTTTTTTTTTTTTGAGTTGGAGTCTCACTCTGTCAACCCAGATTGAAGCGCAGTGGCCACTCTCGGCCACTGTAGCCTTGACCTGCTGGGATCCGTTGATCCTTCCACCTCAGCCTTCCAAGTAACTGGAACTATAGGCACGTGCTACCACGCCTGGTTAATCTTTTATTTATTGTATAGATGAGTTCTCGCCAAGTTGCCCAGGCGGGTCTCGAACCCGCAGGCTCAGGCAATCCCAAATGTCAAGTTCTCGAAAGCATAAGGGACACTCCTCCTTCAGACTATCTGGATGACGTGAGTATACCTGAGACAGAAAGGTTGCTGGTTGACAGGTGACTGATGACTCAGAAATTGGGTATTTAATAATAATAATACTAATATCAATAAGCAAAGATACGCTCTTTCCAGGACATGTCTAGAAAGAAAAGAATGAGCCAGGCTCAGTGGCTCAGCCTGTAATCCCAGAGCTTTGGGAGGCTGAGATGAGTGGATTGCCTGAACCACAGGTTCGAGATCCGCCTGGGAAACTTGGCAAGACCTCATCTCTACAATAAATAAAAAAATTTGCCGGGCGTGGTAGCGCACACCTGTAGTTCCAGCTACTTGGAAGGCTGAGGCAGAAGGATCCCCAGAGCCCAGCAGGTCGAGACTGCAGTGGCCGCTCCTGGCCACTGCACTCCAGTCTGGGCGTCAGAGGTAGACTCCAACTCAAAAAAAGACTACATTGGGTTGCTGGACACGGTGGCTCACGCCTATAATCTCAGCACTTTGGAAGGCTGAGTTGAGAGGATTACCTGAATCCACGGGCTCGAGACCAGCCTGGGCAACTTAGCAAGACCTCATCTCTACAACAAATAAAAAAATTAACCGAGCGTGGTGGCGCCTGCCTGTAGTTCCATCTACTTGGTTTTTTTTTGGGGGGGGGGGTT